CGACGCGCCGACATACCTTACCATATAAGGAAATCTCTCACTCTTATTCTAACACGTAATCGAGTCTAGCACATTCCAGGTTGTTTTCGAAAACTCAGAAGACGTTATCGAATAAAGAAAATTCCAGAACCTTCGATAACCAACCCCAGGCTCTATAAAACGCGCCCTCGAACTGAGGCCGCGGTCAGTCAGAATCGAGCAGTCAGATACATACAACTCACGTATTTCAAGTCGTACTCGCCATCTCGGTCGCGCCTTTTCTCACATAAGTAATACATAGTGAATGATAAGTGAAATATTGTAAGGAAAGACATTGTAATTGTGAAAGTGAAAATAAAATTGTTTTTATTTTTAATTAACTGAATTCGCGATTCTTACAATATATAAGAAATAGACTGCGCTTTCCTTATCTTCTTTGTACAGAGGGAATGGTCAACGCAGACAAGAATAGATGCTTTCACTCGTGTCTCTATTCTTTATTCTGTTTAGTTATGCCGTGATTGACGGACAAGAAAAGTAGTAGGAATGAGAAATAGCCATATATGTAATACTTCTATATCGCTAGTACGGTGCCGACCTGAAGCCCAAACATTACGGTGCAGACAATATAGTAGCCTCTCTCTCGAGCAAGGTCCAGCTGCTTTGTGCGTATGCGGTGAACATTCAAGCACGCTTGGGCATTTCTCTTTCTCGTGTTCTTTCTTCGCGTTCTCTCACTTTCCAATGCTTTGTCTCGCTCGCACTCGCTTAGTAGACGCGCCTGCGCATAATGACGCTCGACTATCTATGCCTATATTTGGACTTCGTGCGTCTATCTTTCTCGGGCCTCGTGCCTCTCATTGCGAAGATACGCGACTAACGATATAGAAGTATTACATATATGGAAATAGCATAGTGGAGCGATAGAGAAACATCGAACAATAAAGGAGCAAAAGTGACAGAGTCGATTGACGTCCTGTAAAATTTCATAATGATCCCCACTCCAGACGCTGAGAGACAGAGACAAAGACACGAGTGAAAGCATCTGTCTTGCTTTGCGTTTTGACTCACTTCTTCTCTCACACGCGCAGTCTATTTCTTATATGTCTATGATTGAATATAGATAATATTTTTGCTGGACAAAAACGTAGTTACGTACTTTAGCATTCTAATTATCTCGTGAAATTATTTATTTCTTACTATTGTAATTCATAAACGTATATTTCATATATTTATAAATAGTAATCATGAACATAGGTATTTTTTATATATGTAATGCAAATCTAGCATCCTATAGGATCCTTCGTGAATTCATATAGAATTTTTGAATAATTATGTGTATAATTTACATTCCTAAAATAAAATATAAATATATATATATACATATATTCATATATATATATATATATATATATATATATATTTATTCCGCAAAACATCCAGTATATCGGCTCCTATTATCGGTTTTCTGTGGTCAGTTTTAAACTATATGAGCCTTAATTCTTTGTTTAATTTGTTAGTGTAATAATCATATTATCTATATTCTAATTTACTGATTTATAATATGGTAATTATGTATATGAAAAAATCATACCATATATATATATATAATATATATAAATATAAATTTGTATTATAGATAAAAGACAGCACTTTAATGTGACGTAAGTAAATTTGCAAAAAAAGTTTGCAATCGCAAAATAATGGTAAATATGGTCAAAACCGTCAATTCTGGCAAATTTAACTTCAATTTTCTCTGAAATCTAACGTGGCCAATTTTATTGCCGGGTTTGTTTTCAACGACCAAAAATCCATCGAAAAACATTTTGTTTATTCAAATTCTCAAGAAAGACCTATTTTTGTATAACTGTTTTAGTGATATATGTAACTTGAAACGATAACTGCATAGTTATACCTTGTCACTTTGTTTCATGCGGTTGATAAGAAAAACAATATATCATAACAATATAGAACGCTTCTACCAAGTTTATTGCAGTTTTTCAGTATTTTTCCAAATAATATGCAAACAAATGTTTTTACTTAAAATTTGTTTACAATATTTTCTAATCGCTTTCTAGCTTCAATAGTTTTATAATACGCATATTGATGCGTTGTAAAAAAACTTGAGATGAAATAACAAGAGAGAATAGAAATGTACACAGAAAAGAGGCAATGCATTTCTCTGTAAAAAGTTTTTTAAGGAAACGAAATTTTTATGAGACACGATTCATGGTATCTATCTATTGTCCGCGTGAAGATAAAAATAAGAAGAGTGATATTTAATACAAAATATTTTGCAATAAAATTTGCACATTGCCAGAAAGATTCGATTTCCGACTTCTGTAATTCTGGCGTAACGCCATGGCGACTCAACGTGCAGAGATGCCAGATCATGCCGGACAACATCGAGAGTATCGAAGTAGGGTACCCCCATCGCCTCGATGATCTCGTACACATACAAGCGAAAACAGTATCCGTGCGGTTCTTGCTTGTGTACGTACGAAAGCATCAAGGCGGTGGGGATATCCCGCTTCGATACTCTCGATGCTGTCCGGCACGATCTGGCATCTCTGCGTGCGATTTTTATAAGATAGATATGCAGAGAAAGGAAATGTGTGTTTGTATGCGCGCAAGTCGACAATGTGACTTTCTGATTGGTTCTCGTCCGAGAACGACTTGTATGAACGACTTGTATGAACTAGCATTGTGCGACGGCGCATTCAAACTATATATCGTCATTGATAGGTGCGCGCGTAACTCGATATGTACGACACACGGTGATATACACGATCGCGAGCGCGTGCCTGTGTACATGAATATATTTTCACGTGCGATTACGTGAACGGCGGCAGGGGAAGAACGTTGAATATACAGGCGTTTAGCGGCGTGGTGAGAGTGGAAGGATGATGAGCGCGCTCTCGTGAATCCATGATACATTTAGTTTATGTCCGGCGTTCCGCGAGAACTGCTAAGATCGCAGTCGTATCATTGTTATCGGGATGCTGAGACGCGAAGTACCGATGTAATGCACACACATTTGCTGCATTCGAGAAGCCGACTATGCGAAACGCACCGAGTCACTAACGATGGATATCCCAATGAGAGAGCGATCGTGAGGATCGTCGTCGTTCTCATCCTAGTAAAGCAGATGTAAGAAAGAGAAAGAGAAAGAGAAAAAGAGAGAGATTTATGTCATCATATATGTTTCATTTATTTTATTATAAATCAAAATTAAAAACAAAAATATAATACAAATTTAATTAATGCAATAAAGAATATGAAGTACTTATTAGTAATATTTTTTTGAACAAGTTTGTTTATTGATGGTTAGACTAAACGTGCATTTTTTTCTACAGAAAGAAAGAAATAAATCGTAATTTTCCGATCAAAAAATTAGTAGATTGTAGATATTATTTGTCAAATCAACTTTTAATCACGTATCGTAATGATAAGTGCGAAAGATATTCAAATTTCATCGATACGTAAAAGAAGAGAGAAAGAGAGAGAGAGAGAGAGAGACAGACAGACAGACAGACAGATAGACAGACAAAGAAAGAAAGAGAGATATGATGTGATCTTACATATAAAACAATTATAGAATTGTCAATATTAGACATGATAAGTAGAGCAATCAGAATTTAATTTAGTTTTAGAAATTTACACACGTATATTTCCTTTTATCTAAAATAATCTTGATGTAATTCATTCAAACTCATTTGAAATGAATATTTTTGTGTTAATAAAAGATACGAGAAGTAAGATCAATACTCATTTGAATTCTAGACAGCAGAGCGAGATAGTGCAACGAGAAAGAACTGAGTGTTTTGTTTTGTAAAGATACCGTTCGATCAATTTCTCGTTATAAATTAATTTGTTACTAATACTAATGACGGAGTCAGAACAGATGCAAATGTCTGACAAAATAAGGAAACCATCCGATGATTATATAAAGAACATTGAAGGAGGCACGCAGCCGACGCAGGTGAATAATTTTGTTGTCAAGTAAATGAAATCATCATCATCATCATTAGTACAAATAGCCGACAGAGAAATATTCGAAAAATAATAAAATAGTCCTCGCTTCAAGTTGATGCTAGACGATATTTACTTTTAACTTAAATAATGATGATTACAGAACAATTTTAGTTTTTAAATTTCATTGCTATTTCAATAATTATTTAAATTAATAATTATTTAAATAGCAAAATTATTATATTAATTGAAATAATTATTTATAGAAAAGAAAAATCTCAGTAATTATTGTTAATATCACTGGTTGTAGGGCTTGCAAACTAAAGTTTACAAGAGGCGATGGCTGATTCTTGCCATTTTTGTGCTATATAGTGCGAGCAACTCTATGCAATGGATTCAATACAGTATTATAGCGAACATCGTAAAGCGCTATTACAACGTGACGAATTTTCAAGTGGACATGACAAGCATGATATATATGATAACGTATATACCATTGATATTTCCTGCTAGTTATTTGCTCGATAAATTAGTAAGTAATTATAATTGTTTCACTAAACAACAGAACATAATACAAATAAAAAAAGGGAGAATACTGAAGAATTTTTTTAGCAAAGAAAACTCGCATATTTTAGTAAAACAGAACCTTGTAAACGTATCAGTTCGTAACATCTTGTTTGATTATCGAACATTCATCATGTCATAATTTTCTACATTCTACGTAAATTAACACAGCTTGACACTTATCGTCAAATATAAACGAGAAAACTGGATAGTCCTGATATCAACAAGATAGCCGGATCTTGAGTAATCTGACAGTATAAAACTTCGACTTTACTTTTTTGCAAATGCAATATTAAGCATAGCTGCAAAAGTCTTGATTGTGTTAAGTAAAAAATAATAATATTGTGTTAAAATAATAAATAATAAATGAATGTGTAAAAATAATAAATGATATGTACTATACAGAAATATATATATATATACAATATAGAGAAAAGTATAATAAAATAAATACGTATAAAATTTATTAGTGGCATAGTAAATGCAATGTAATTCTAGGGTCTCAGATATGCGGTGATCTTCGGCGCGCTTGGAACCAGCCTCGGTTCTTGGATTAAAGTGTTCAGCATAGCTCGTGATCGCTTTTGGATCACTTTCCTCGGTCAGTCTTTAGTGGCAGTCAGTCAAACGTTTATCCTTTCGGTTCCGGCCAGGTTGGCCGCGGTTTGGTTTGGGTCCGATCAGGTCAGCAGTGCCTGCAGCATCGGTGTCTTCGGCAATCAGGCAAGTATCATTGTGCGCGTAGTATCATCCGTTCGCAGCGTGCTACATGCAACTTTGTGAAACGCAAACAGGTAATGTTTAGTCCGCGCTATAAAGTCGCACTAATCACGTTCAAGATCGTGCAATAAACATAACACATAGTGAAAATATAAACATAATCCAAAGATAAAAGTTAATTGTGAATCTATATTATATTTGTAATTAAATTTTTGTTGTGAAACAATAAGCAACGATTTTATTTCATCGAAGTTTTAATTCAATCGATCTTACTTTTAAAGTAAAAAATTCAATGTTAAAAGAAAACTTATAAAGCTTAATAAAATTTCGAACACTTTTGTGATTGATAAGTCGTCATTGTTTGAAAACTTTCTGAAGATTTGTTGCGCGTTCAAAGATCCAAATTAATAAATAATATTTTACTAAATAATAAGTAAACTCAACCTTTTAAAATATTTATCTAAACTGTTTATAATTAATAAACATTAATTTATTTTATTAGTTTAACTGTAATTGCTAGCACTATTAATTTTATTAAAATTCTCATATAAATTATGTTCGACCACTTTACAGAAGTAAACATTTCTTAATATTATATAAGGCTCTCTGTAAACGTCAATGCAATGTAACGTTGCTTATTATTTCGAAAATGCACGATATTGGGAAAGTTTTCGATTGTCATATTACACACAAAGAGAGAACGGTTTCTTTAAATTTAATAATCCGATTTGTTTGACTCATATTTGTTGCATTCAAACAACATAATTTTATACCAATATTTGTTGCATTCAAATAACATAATTTTATACCAAACAACAATTTTGTTGAATGAAAATTATATTGTCACGTTAAAATAAATCAAATTATTTGACGGAAACAATACAAATGTTTGAAATAATTTATTCCAACAAAATAATATTTTATTTGGTGTTAATAAGCATTATTTAATGAAAAAATCATTTTGTAACATAAATATAACATAAAATATATTTGATTTAAATATAGCATTGTTTGAGACAAAAAATTTCGCGTTGTAAAAATGTACTTTAAATTATAAGAATACTAAATAATTAATAATAATAATAAGAGAAATATTTGTATCCATTGTTGCAGATACATTGCACTGCAATATTTTTAATAAAATAATAATTTAAAGAAATAATAAATGAAATGCGTATAGGATAGCTGGAGAATAAGTAGATAAAAATAATCACATTTTAGAGTAAAGAACAAGTAGTCTTGCGAACTGAGAGGCTGCGAATACGACGGAGGCGTCTCGAGTTTCGAATCCCGCTATCACCTTAAGAATTTTTTCAGGTTCAGTTTTAATAGAGTTCATCGGTTGATTGGCAAGCTGGGTCGATTGAAAAGCTGGTTGATTGGAATCGGGCCTCCAAAGAGAGAAAGATTTTATTACTTCGAATAAAATCTCGAAGTTGTGTGAGGGCGCAAGCCGTGAAAAATTTTTTTTTATTAAAGTTTTAGATTTATTTAACTTAACAAAATACTTTGTTTGAAATTCAAACAATCGGAATGTTTAGTTCAAAATCAAGGTTGTTTGGACTATTCCAATTAAATAATTTGTTTGGATTTAACAAAATTTGTTAAATCTAAAGAAACCGTTCTCTCTGTGCACAGGTTTAACATGTGTGTTGTGCGTGCAAGCAATGAGAATACGTATTCCCGCGAACAAACGGAAATGACAGTCTGGAGTAATCTCATAGTCTAATAGACGCGAAGGGTGCTTCTCTCGGCCAGATTTAAATTGCGATGTGATTAGGTGGGAAACCGAGTCAAAGTGGGCACCCACGATTAATTTCACTACCTCGACAATCGGTCGACAGTCGTGTCTGCGCAGAGGCGGATGAAAAGGAGGAAGGGTTTACTCTATCAGGTCGCGAGTGATTCAATTTATCCAAGGTGCAAGCTGCACGATCGCTATCAGTTGTCGTATTGTGTACTTTATCGAGAAATCCGTCGTGCCTTAAATTGTAGCAATTTTGCAATCAATATAAAACAAAAATTTATATTTTATTATATTGTAAATAGTTATTATATATATAGTTTTTTATATGTATCTTGCAACAAGAAACACTCTTTACTTATTGTTACAGCTTGGTATAGCTATTGGTTTCTTATTTCCACCGATGTTAGTGTCTAACAGCGAGGAGATCTGCGACATCGAAAATGGATTGAAACTTATGTTTTACATCGTCGCGATTTTCACGACGATTTTACTAGTTGGTATATTAATTTGTACGTATACTATAATATTTCTTTATTAAATAATCACACATCTAATAAACAACAAATTTGTAGAAAATAAAAATTTATCGATAAATATAAAGCTTGACAATGTCAAAATTAAGTAAACCTTTCTTTTCATTAAAAAATTCTAAATTTAGACGTTTTGATCGTAAGTTTGGTAGAGATCAAAATAAATAAACAAAAGATCCACATCAATAATTATTGAATTAAAATAGTAAAAAATTAACAATAATCATCTAAGTCAACAATTTTAAATTAAAAAGTCAATTAAATCAAATAAAACTATTGAGATATTCGTTCCATAGTTGAACAAAACGGAATTATTATTATCTGTCAAATTATTCTTACAAATACGACTTAGCAGTGTACATTGCTGTTAAATTCTTACTTTCAAGTTAGTAATTATTTACTCTTGTGTATCGACTTTTTGCTAGTTTATTTTGATTTTTACCGATAAAGATCCAATTTTAGGTCGAAACGTCCGAATTTAAAAATTTTTTTTAATAAGAAGAAAGTTTTTTATACTAATATCCTGTAATTTAGCTCGCGCATTGTTTTTAACTTTATTTTAAAATAAAAATTATTGAAAATACAAATTATTTTTAATTCTTTGAAACATGTACAGAGTGGTCTTAATTTTTGTATCGAAATATCTTGAAAAAAAAGGTTCAAAAAATGACAAAAGACCAAACTTTTAGAAAATCGAAACAGTTATCTGATAGATCCAGTCTTATATCATTAGATTATCTTGCCTTGATTGACTAGATTCCTGATGTTCTTATACGTTGCTATAATTGGCAGAAACATCTTCGATTTAACGATTAATAATTAATAGAGATTACTCTCGGGTTCTGGAGTTTCTAAACTAGTAAATATAAGGTCATCAAGAGCCGTTCGCAGAATGTTGTGCGGAAATGAATATGAGTATATATATATATGTATGCATATACAGGGTGTCCCAGAATTGGTGTAACATCTCTCGTAAGCAGGTAGAAGGAGTAAAACTGAGTCGAAAAGTCCTGAACCATTTTTTTCTAAACAATTATGACTTAAGGCTTGTTAAAATTAATAACAAGAAATATATAAGGCCTTACGAGCCATTCCCAGGATGTTGAGCGGAAACTGTACGTGTATATATATATATATACACATGTAACGAATTCAACTTGTTTCCTGGCCGAGGAGTTTTTTTCGTAATATTTTAAAATTAGTTAGGGGGGTATCCGGGATCTCTCATATGTGAGATGCAAATCCAGCATCTCGTTTGAATTTAAGAATTGAGATTTCAATTCTAAAAACACTCACTTGTAAAAATTTACAAGTTGAATTTGTTACATGTGTATATATATATATATATAAACGTACAGTTTCCGCTCAACATCCTGGGAATGGCTCGTAAGGCCTTATATATTTCTCATTTTTTTCTATTATTTATAATAAAGGAGTAATTATTGAATAAATCAAGCCAATCAGCGCCGATCTTTAACCAGGCGCACGTCAGTGAGCCACGCGCCTAGTGTGTATGAGCGCTCCGCGCGGTTCACTGGCGTGCGCCTAGCTAAAGATCGGCGCTGACTGGCCTGACTTACTCAATAATTACTCCTTTATTATAAATAATAGAAAAAAATGGTTCAGGACTTTTCGACTCAGTTTTACTCCTTCTACCTGCCTACGAGAGATTGTACGGCAATTCTGGGACACCCTGTATATATGTGTGTTTACGTGTAATATTTTTCACGTGAGTTTTTTGAATTGAAATTACAATTCTTTAAATCATATACAATGCTAATTTTGTATCACATATATGAAGGATCCTGAATATTCCTCTAACTAATTTTTAAAATATTGCGAAAAAATATTTTAAAAATTAGGAGGGGTATTCGGGATCCTTCATATACATATATGATGCAAAATTAGCATCGTATATGATTTAAAGAATTGTAATTTCAAGTCAAAAAACTCACGTGAAATATTACACGTAAACACACATGTATATATACTCATATTTCTGCACAACATCCTGCGAACGGCTCTTGATGATCTTCGATTTAATTTTTTTTTCTTTCTAAAAGCATGAAAACTGTGTTAAATCGCAATTAAACATTGGATCTTTTGAAAAAACTGAATTGGGTCTAATTGTATCTGAAATTTAAGTTTTTATTTTGTCAAAAAAATTACCTTAAACGCAGATTTGGTTTAGGGGTTCGTGTTTGAAAAAATCAACCCGAGTCTGATTAGATTCAAAATTAATTTTTCAAAAACACTAAACGTTGAAATGATATTTAGATTGAAAATAAAAATCAGCGGTAAGAACTTGGAAGATTTTATTTTAAAAATTGATCTAGACCTTATCGAGTGTAACTTAGGATTTGGATTAAACATTCAATCTAACCATCAGATCGCCATCGCAAAACTTTAAAGTAATCTTTTCTAAAATCTATCATTTTTCAAATTGTATGCCTAAAAATCGAAGTTTTGTAATAAATTACATAATATTAACTTCAAACAAGATTTTGGAAAGAGTTTAACAAAAAATGACAAAGAATACAGTTGTTTTATTTTGAGAATAGAATTTTTTGAGAATAGAATAATTCTGCAGTAAAACTTGAAAAGTTTTATGTAAAACTTGATTTGGACTCTATTAAGTTCAAATAAAACCTTGGATCCAAAATCTAAGCAAAATAAAAATTAAATAGTCCTTTTGATTTTCTACAAGTTTTTTTCTAAAAGGTTGTCTCTTGAAGGTCTCGTGTCAATGTTTCTTGGAAAAATCTGTTTTCTTCAAGATATTTTTGATGCGAAAGTTAACATGGGACATTTTGTATATTATATACATATATATGTATGATAACTCCAAGATTTGGACTGCGTCAAGTTTTATGTTACATAGACTAGAAGAAATAAGAATAAGGATAATTTGCATGCAACTATTTTTCCACATAGCATCGTTAGTAGCACAAACGTTTCTGCAACGGTTTTCCGAAACTTAGCAACGTTTCGTTAAAAGTCTCTAAAACATCGTAGTACCGTAGCGGAAACGTCGAAATGTCCGCTTTTTAAGTTGCGGTCTGTTTTCGTAGAAACGTATAAGAAACGTTGCTCGATAAGTTGCAAAGTTTTTAATGTTTAAATTTTTATAAACATTGTAAAATACAATTAATCAACCATGCAGGTTTTGCCTGCTTAACCATTCTCCAGGAAGGAGTGATTACTTAAGAGGATGCTGAACCAGCGGCTTAACAGCTGCTTGCTGCTACGCTGTCCAGTAGCTGGTGCCCTCTATACAAGGATAGACGTATATCTCTTTTCTTGTCTTTCGTTCGGTTTGCCGGTCTGATAGTGGTGGGGATATGCACACGTACGCGACTGTCTGCTTGTGTGTGTATCCTGCCTACTATCGTATGTGCTTCATTAGAAGAATTAACTATTCTCGTAAACTAGACAATAAAATCACATTCTGATTGTTCCATTATATTCTTTTATATCATCCGCTTATCGCTCTGGTGCCTGCGTATTTATACAATGCTTAGAAATTGTTTAAAAATAGCAAAATATGATCAAGTGATACTAGGACAATGTAACTTTTGGTGCTTTTTAGACCAAAAAGCATCAGACCGATAAGTGTTTCTTTACGTTCTTCATTTCTGGAAAGGCGTTTTTATTTGATACAATAAATAATGAGATTAGTTAGTTCTACTAAAATGACATATCCCGTCGGTATAACAGGACGGTTCAGCATTCTCTTAAGTACCTATTCTCTAGAAAGGAGTGATTACTTAAGTAGGTATATTATGGTTAAGCAGGCAAAACCTGCATGATTTCAAAAATGTATTTTACAATGTTTATAAAAATATAAACATTAAAAACTTTGCAACTTATCGGGCAACGTTTCTTATACGTTTCTACAAAAACAGACCGCAACCTAAAAAGCGGACATTTCGACGATTCCGCTACGTTACTACGACGTTTCAGAAACTTTTAACGAAACGTTGGAGTAAGTTTCGGAAAACCCATTGCAGAAACGTTTGTGCTACTAACGATGCCATGTGGGTTACGTGTGTGTTTGTTACGTGCTTTTATGTTACATTAGTATTGTGTTGTGATTTCAGCTGTTTATTGTTACTATCAACAAAAACTCGTCAGTTTAATCGATTCGTCAGCATGATAAGTAGAGCGATCATTTTTTACGGATATGTAAAATAATTATTGCAAGGTTTAAAAGTTTAGCGGTTTTATTGCAATAGTAATTGTAGATGGATAGTAAAAGATGAATGACAAATTACAAACATGTAATTCTTGTTTTCTTTATTTAGCTAGCTGCGTTATATCCTTTTAGTTTGAAATATACCGCAGTTTTAACGTGTGGGATATGTGTTTTGTAAAGAGTCGTTTACAATGAAGGTAGAAAGGCTGTAAGAGTAGAGTAAGGTTCTTGGAGTTATTTCATTTTTGTCTATACAAGTAATTATTTCGCGTTTTTTAACACGCGTCTTTCATTGGCTAACAGTAAAACAGTAAGCAGTGCGAAATGGGAATTGTTCATTTCGTTTATTCCCGTTGTTACTTCACCGAAAAATAGTTTACTCTCTACTCTTACAGCCTTACTATCCTCATTGTAGACTAGCCATTAGAGCTAGTCTACAATGAAGGTAGTAAGGCTGTAGGAGTAGAGAGTAAACTATTTTTTGGTGAAGTAACAACGGGAATTACGAAATGGGCAATTCCCATTTTGCACTACCTACTGCTTTACTTTTAGCCAATGAAAGACGTGTGTTAAAAAACGCGAAATAATTGTATAGACAAAAATAAAAGAACTCCAAGAACCTTACTTCTTACTCTATTATACTTACTGCCCACTTCCATTGTAGACTAGCCATAATACAGCGCTTACACCTACGCGAGTATGTATTTTTATTCAGCAAGCTAATCTTAGCATTCTCTACACATTTTTGTTGCTTTTGTTATTATTTATTAACAATATTTGTTAATGCATAATGTTAATGTTTCACATAAGTAAATACTGAAAAGTATTATTAGATGAAAGGAAGTGTTGTATTTAGGATTTTCACACCTCTATTCACATCACCTCATCCATACGTAACCTAACTTAACCTATCTCCTATCCCTATGAAATATAAGGCAAAAATGCAAGTTTTGCTTTTTTAAAGTTTTTTTAAAATAAAAAGAATAAAGATTTTGTATTCAGAATTGTTTCTATAATAAAAGAGTACAAGGTTTTTAACAGTAAATAGTTATAAAAGTTTTATTAGTATAGTTCATTCGTCTTTAACATTGTAAATATCTGATAAAGTAATTTCCGATAAGTACAGCTTATATATCAAAGTTACTCTGTATATACAGGGTGTCCCAGAATTGCCGTACAATCTCTCGTAGGCAGGTAGAAGGAATAAAACTGAGTCGAAAAGTCCTGAACCATTTTTTTCTATTATTTATAATAAAGGAGTAAATTATTGAGTAAATCAGGCCAATCAGCGCCGACCTTTAGCCAGGCGCACGTCAGTGAGCCACGCGCCTGGTGTGTGTGAGCACTCCGCGCAGTTCACTGACGTTCGCCTGGCTAAAGGTCTGCGCTGATTGGCCTGATTTACTCAATAATTACTCTTTTATTATAAATAATAGAAAAAAATGATTCAGGACTTTTCGACTCAGTTTTATTCCTTCTACCTGCCTACGAGAGATTGTACGGCAATTCTGGGACACCCTGTATATTATTATGTATATAATATGTATATATTCTATATACATGTATATATACGTATATATATATATATATATATATATATAATATTAATATTGTATATATTTAATATATGTATAATATTAAATATTAGGTTGTCTCAAAAGTTTCTTTCGCGACCTGCACGCAGCTGCTTTATCTGGCAACGTTTATATAAACATGCAATCTTATCTCTTAGACATTGACGTCATCCATTTTCAGTCTTCGTCTAGCTATCGTAGAATACGTTTTGTTCGCATTGTAAAGTTATATACGCCCTTTCGGGGGACGTGTGGAAAATTACCAGCTCCGAACCTCCTAAACCAAACGTATGAACTGTCTGAACATTTGTAGCACCACTTCCATAACGGTGCAACTCTCGTTTACAGTATTCCCATACAGCACCAAAAGATTGCAGTAACATTGCAGAAATCTTACAGTGAAACATTGTAATATTGCATGATAGATAGTTGCGAAATATTTCTGCAATGTTACTACAAGCTTACGGCAACGTTGAAATGTTTGCCTCCAAAAATATTATAATGTAAGACTACAGTAATGTTACAAAGCAATGTATTTGTAATATTGAAAGACGCAAATATACAAAATGTTTAAAATTTAATAGATAAACTTTAACAATATATAAAGACATCGGAGAGAGATGAGAACAAACTCGTTGCTCAATTGGTTGCTATAAGTTCATAATCTTCTTGCACTCGAAACTCACAATCAGATATCTGATCGAATATAAAAAGATTATGAATTGACGCAAGGACATGAGTTCGTTTTCATGTCTTGGATATTTTTATGTTATTGAACTTTATATATTTTCAAAGTTTATTTATTAAAATTTAAAGTATCTTGCATATTAAAAAATATGAACAATTCGTTGGTTTTATATAAAAATTAGTAAACAATTTTTTTTTGTCCAGTTAATTTTGCTATTTTATTTTATTATATATATTGCATTTTACTTTTTATATAATAATAACAGCTTTCTTCCTTTAAATTTTAATTTATTTTTATGTTTGTCTTATGCTCTTACAGATGCATAGATAAAAAAAAGAGAAGACGACAAGTATAAATCACAATCGAGATACAAAAACGCATCGAACTTAATAAAAACGTCACTATCGTCTCGCGTTTTTTTTTTTTTTTTTTTTTGATATACATTTTGATATTTATACAATTCGCAAATATACGTAATACAATATATATATATATATATATATATACAGGGTGTCCCAGAATTGGTGTAACATCTCTCGTGAACAAATAGAAGGAGTAAAACTGAGTCAAAATGTCCTATACCATTTTGCTAGATTCGCAATAGTTACCGAGATCTTAAATAACAAAGATCCGCGAATAAGTGTGCATCGGGCTGTCTTACGCGCGTAGGACAGCACGGCGCGCTTCGCACAATTACATTTTAATATATATATGTTATAGAGGCTGCGTTCCGTTTCACGCATATGTGCGCATGTATCTATAGTACACGTTACATATAGTATAGATAAATGCGCGCATATGCTGTTATATTAGCTCCTTTTATATGCTGCTACGGGTAACACCGTAAGCGCGCGAAGCGCACTGGGCTGTTTAAGCGCGTAAGACAACCCGATGCATGCTTATTCGCTGATTTTTGTTAATTAAGATCTCGGTAATTATTGCGAATCTAGCAAAATGGTATAAAACTTTTTGATTCAGTTTTACTCCTTCTATTTGGTCACGAGAGATGTTACGCCAATTCTGGGACACCCCTTATATGTTTGTTAATAGCTATTCAAAAGTATTTCTGATAATATACTAGAATTAAACATACTATAATAAAACATTGTTAAAACATTTCGGCAAAATATTGTTATTATATGTCTCTAAAACATCTTTGCAATATTACATTGCAACTTGCAATGTTGCAACGTTTTTGAAATATTACTGGAAGCTTCGGTGCTGTATGGTTTGTTAGCACTGTTGCCTTTTTTAAAACAATATAACATTACATGTCGCAAATGCTTTTTTTGATTTTTGATACTTAAAGATGTATGAAAGAGCGTGTATAATTTTTCAATCTAAACAAATCGTATTCTACGTATTCTATAGCTAGACCCTAATAGGCAAATTGTGAAAATATTGCACAAAAATGGCATCATGAATAACGACAATCCTGCAATGATCGGACTAAGATGATTTGCCATAACGCAACAGTTGTGTCGAAATACAATTTTGTAAATAATATTTGTTAAAAATTGCAAAAGAGTCGTTATGCATTTTCTTACGTACATACATGAATTGATTTCTTCATATGCAATTATATTTCCACATATTTTAAACATCACATAACTGAAATTTTTTTCTCAATTATTAGACAATTTCTTTTTGAAATTAATTTTGCAAATATACTGCTAAGATGATTCGTCATATTGTTAATCTTTTGCCGAAATAGTATTTGGAAAGTAATTTTGTCAAATAATTTTTTTTTAACTATTTTTCTATCAGGGACGAAGACTGAAAATGGATGACATCAATGTCTAAGAGATAAGGTTGTATGTTTTATATAAACTCTGTTTATATAAACTCACAATCAGATAAAGCAACTGCGTGCAGATCGCGAAAGAAACTTTTGGAACAATTTTTTAATATAAGTTTTGTTTAATATAAGGTTTCCCTGAACTGGTGGGAACAGAGACCCTGTACTAGCTGCACTAGTTCACAGTCTATCTTTTGTTATCCATATTAGAAAGAAAAAGATAGACTGAACTACTGCTGCCAGTTCAGAGAAAAAAACAAACCTATATATGTATATAATATATATTAGGTATATATAGAATAATATAATATATAATATATAAATTATATATATACATATATATATTATATACAGGGTGTCCCAGAATTGGTTTAACATCTCTCGTAGGCAGGTAGAAGGAATAAAACTGAGGTGAAAAGTCCTATACCATTTTGCT